GTGTCTCTCTCTCTCTCTCTCTCTCTCTCTCTCTCTCTCTCTCTCGTCCTCTCCTCCTTCCCTTCCTCCCTCCCTCCCTTTCTTTCTCTCTCTTTCTCTCTCCACCCCCCCTTCCTCCTTCCCTCCCTTCTCTCTCTCCCTTCTTTCCATTCTTTCTTCGTAAATTGCAAAAATTCAAGAAAGTACGACAGAATAACTTCATGCGCTTATATTCAGAACTGATGCTTTACCGCTTTTGTCTTTTTTGTTGCGAGTATTTTTCTCTTTTAATTAAAAAAATAGTTTAGCGATTTAATAAAATAAATCATTAAACAGTTCAAGTTTCTTCATTCCAGACTCGTTACCTTTGTTGCAAGTGTCTTTTTATACTTTACATGTATACTTGACTATGAACACAGTGAGGCATTGTTTTCTGTGTATTTTTACAAGTCCACATAAGTTGCTTTATGTGTATATGTCAGTAAGCACTTTTGGCTACTTTCTCACTTTCCATGGGAGTCTCTTTCTGCTCAAATATGCAGATCTGGTTCAATCTAATTTATGTATTTAACACACCTTTTTAAAAAAAATTTGTGTTTTTTTATGGATAAACACTTGGGTTGCTTCCAGTTTTTGGCTTTCTTGCGATGAATATTTTGATATTTTACTGACCACATGACAGCGGATATTCTTCTGTCTCCTCATGTCCGTGTGTGAGCGTTTCTCGTGGGTGACCACTGGAAGGGGAATTGCTGGGCCACGAAGGGTACGCATTTATCATTTTCCAGGATACTTGCAAAGTGCTCTTCAAAGTGGTTGTACCAATTTACATCCCTCCAATGATGGAGGAGACATTTCCTTAGGAATGCTTTATATTGTCAGACTTGAAAAATTTTGTCAATCTAGTGGGAGGGGAATGGTATGTCATTGTTCTAATTTGCATTTCAGATGCCCTGTGAGATGAGCAGCTTTTCATATGCTCGATGGCCACTGAGTTCTCCCCTCTGAATTGCTTGTGATCAACTGTTCTGGCTTCCTTTGACTCCTAACTCGGTGGTTTCTAGGGAGAGTTTCTTAGGGGGTAGACATCAGGGGCAACTATATTGTGGACGTGTCTACAGATGGTAACTGCTGAGGGGAAATTCTTGGACTCTGACTGGAGGAGCACTTGCTGACCTTTTAATCCAGCTCTTCTGTGGGTGTCTCCATTCCAACCAGGAGAAAAATGTATTTATTTATCCAGGGCATTCCTGCCTCTGCAGTGGAAGAGTATTCTCTAGTGACCGTTTTTCATAATTTTATGTGGTGCATTTGATGGTTTTCAGCAAAATCTGCTGTCTGGTCTTAGATCTAAGCACAGTTGTGCTTTGCTCAAAGGCTGGCTTATGTTCATCTCATGAATACTGTGAATGCACCACAGACCAAATTTACCCACCTCCCCTTCTTTTCTTGGGCATCTGTCTTAGTCTGTTTTCTGTTGCTATAACAGAATACCATATTCTGGGTAATTTACAAAGAAAAGGAATTTATTTCATACGGTTCTGGAGGCTGGGAGGTCCAAGAGGATGGCACTGGCATCTGGTGAGGGCCTTCACGCTGCATCATAATGTGGCAGAGGGCGTCACGTGGGGAGAGGGCAAGAGCCTGTGTGTGCCAGCTCAGCTCTCTCTTCTTCTTCCAAAGCCACCAGTCCCATCAGGGAGGCCCCACCCTGATGACCTTATCTCATCCTGATTACCTCCCGATAGCTTCACCTTCAATGAGCATATGAATTTGGGGATTACATTTCCAACACATGAAATCCGGGGAACACATTCAAACTATAGTAACATCCATAACTGGGAAGCTTAGAATTAGGCTCTTTGCTAACAAGTACGTGTGTTTTTTAACTTGATGCCCAGCTCTGCTGATGCCTCTACCCTTGCATTTCTTTCCTCTGTGCCTTCCATTTCTATTTGTTAGCTCTTTGTATTTTATTGAATACAGTAGGGGAATTTATAAATTAGATATTTGATGAAAAATTAAATAAAAATGAAGGGCCTACATAACTAAAGAAACACTTAAAGATAAATGCTTTGTGCCACAGATGTTGATTAAGTCCCGAGTGTCAGGCACTTGTCGTACGCATGGAGGTCACAGCGGTGGTCCAGGTAAAGAGAGAAGAACGCTCAGAACTCTCAGGTGGTTTCGGATTGAGGACTGGCACGTGCCAGCTCAGCTTGAAGGAGTGGACAGGCTCATGCCGAAGTCCTGATTTGTGGTTCCAAAGGGAACCTTGCCCACATTATCTACCCTTTTTGCTGCCAGTTGCTTGAAAAAGGCATTAAAATTTAGGGCTCTCTGGAGTATGTTCTTAATGTGAGACAGTTTAAAGGGTGAGGTCACTGTGGTCTTTTCTGAAAATGATAGCAGAATGAAAATCTTGGCACAAAGGAGCTAAAGTGTGATAATTTTGAAACCTTTTGTAGAAGCTTGATTGGTGAAAATCGAGCATTTGGTTCAAGTCTTAAAATGTTTCCTTCTGTGTGTGGTGGGAGCAGAGAAGCGGACGAACCCTTCGTGCACAGCTGTTGAGTGCCAGGCCCTGGGTGTCAGGCAGAGCCACGACCTTCCAGAGGAAGGTGCCCTTCTGTCTTGGAGGCTGCTTTCTTTTGTAACAGGAGACAGTGTTTGTGTCCTTTTAAAATGGTTTCTCTTTGGTATAATTTTGTTCCCTCAGAATTTGCCTATTTTTATTTTTAAAATTTGTTTTCTGAAAAGAGGAGCCGAAAGCTTCACTGCGTCTTCTTATCATTTTCCTCCCTCCCCTGGGCAGAAGGAACCTGTAGGTGCTGATGCTCCACGCCGTGGCTTAATGTGCTTTTGTTTTAAGTCATGTTGTTAACAGCAGAGCTACACATGTGTTTTCAGTGTCTTAACTCAAATATGTTGCATGTCTTAAATTTTTTCAAAAAGAAAATGGAAAATTCATCCTGGCATAAGTTCTGCATTGCCTTCATAACTACAAGTGTTGTCCGTCCGCCTCTCCATCCATCCATCCATCCATCCATCCATCCATCCATCCATCCATCCATCCATCCCTCCGTCCCTCCATCCATCCTTCCATCCATCCATCCATCCATCCACTTTTCCATGCTTTGAGTACTTGCCATGTGCAAGGTACTGAGTGAAGTGCTGTGGTGCTTATTAAGAATTATAAATCAGATCTAACTATCTTCAAAGAGGTTATGGTCTAAGAAAAGTGAATAGACAGGTACTTAAATAACTGTGGTACATTTGCAACAACATG